AAACTGGGTTTTCTTTATGATATTAATTAATTTAATTTAGATAAAATCTGGACTCCTTATTGTAACAGTTTCAACGTTCAACTATGGCTTCCCTTCTCTTCCCAATCTCAATGTTCACATAATTCATTGTTGAACACAGAATCACTGTTTCACTGCTTCTTGAATTTTGAATACTTAAGGACTAATTTTGAAATGGTATCTGTGTGATAGTTAATAAGTGGACTGTATTTTAGATGAGAATAAAAGAAATAATAGATTGGAAAATAGTTGAACTGTATTTGAAAGAAACATTTTTAACACTGATATAAATAGTATCAATTAATAATTAAACATCAGCTGGTTCAAATGAGTATTAACATAGCAAATCAAAGAGTGTTAAATAAATAATGTGGGATGATTATATTTATAAGTACTGAACATAACCGCCCACCAAAAACAACTTTAGTGGTTTTTTTTAAGCTTCAAGGGGTTTTTAGTCTTCATCTTCATTTAAAAGGGGGCATAGTCTTGTCACAGGTTTTATTAAAACTCCTTTTTTTGTCTTCAATTTTTCAACTCTTGTGACGTTATCTCTGGAAGGACAAAGTTCACTTACTCTAGCTAACATCCAACATTGAGGAGGTAAATTGTATTCCTTAATGAGGACAATGTCGTTCACTGATAAACTTTTATTGTTCACATTCCACTTCTGTCGTTGTTGGAGTGAATGTATAAATTCTAAACTCCAACGTTTCCAAAATTGTTGCTTAATCTGTTCTAGAAGTTTCCATCGAGAAAGTCGGTTTACAGGGATATGGGATATGTCTGTATGAGGAAGACTTGTTAAAGGTTCCCCAATCAAAAAATGTCCAGGGGTTAGTCAATTTCATTCGGATCTGTTGATAATGGAGATAGTGGTCGAGAATTGAGGATTGCTTCAATTTGTGTAAACAATGTCGTAAGCTCTTCAAAGGTTAGTTTTTTTCGCCCATTGTTCTACGCAAGAGATGTTTGGTTGATTTTATTCTTGCTCCCCATATCCCTTTAAAATTGGGAGCATAAGGCGGATTGAAATGCCATTTGATTCCTTTGTTTAACATATGATTTTGGATATCTTCAGAAATCAAAATTTTGTGATTCAGTTTGCTAAGTTCATTTTTAACTCCTTTGAATGCTGTTCCTTGATCACAATATATATCACTACACATCCCACGTCGACTAATAAATCGTTTCAAAGGTGCTATGAATGCTTGAGTGGTGAGATCTAAAACGACTTTGAGATGTAACGCTTTTTTTGATAGGATAAACCTTTTTGATGGAACAGATTCTTCCACTACAACTTCATATGAAAAACAATCCTTGGTAGACAGCCATTTAATACCAAGTACTTTTATTGCAGAACTTTCAGAATGTTGTATTGGAAGTGAAACTTCTTGGCTTTGGTTTTGTATATCAGACATCAATTCTGAAAGGTTAGATGCCCACTTTTTTAATTCAAACTGACCACATTCCAGAAGAGAAATCAATTCCTTTTTTCAAAGTGTGATCATCTTCCTTTGAATCCCAACCCACTAGTATATCATCAACATAACTATCTCTGACTAAAGATTGAGCAGCTTTAGGAAATCTTTCTCCTTCATCAATTGCCAACTGGTGCAACGTTCTTATAGCCAGGAAAGGAGAGGAAGTCACTCCATATGTAACAGTGGTAAGTAAATATACATTTAAAGGATGAAGAGGAGATGATCTCCATAAAATGGCTTGATAAATCTGGTCTGCTTGATCCACTAAGATCTGTCGATACATTTTACATATATCAGCAACAAACACAACAGGGAACAGACGGAAACGAGATAATATGTGAGTTACATCATTTTGTAGCTTGTAAAGTTCTTTAACCTTTTATTTGGTAAATAAATGTCCAAGGTGATGAATACATATAAACCTTTTATTAGTCAAATTGTACAAATAAGTAGGGTTATAAATTTAGATGAAACTCTTAATCTCAGGGTTCTAGGAATGTGCCGGCCTAAAGTAGGCTTATGTGATGTTGGATAGGCATAAGCCATCACAAGTTATGTACAGTTCAATTTACACTTTTGAAAAGAAGAAAGTTCAAATTTTGAATTTAGTAAAATTATAATTTAGGTAAAAGTTCAAAACGGCAAAAGCCAATAGAAATTTTGAAATGTGAGTATTTAGCAAAGTACAAGTTCAGTTTGATCTCACCCAAACGTTTATGGTAGTCTTCTCCACAAATATATTTCTTGAGGTAAAAAATGATATGTATTAAATAATTGAGAAAAATCTTGATATTTTAAATACTGTAAAGTTAAATCACCAATTAAAAGTTTTAAATAATCTTCCTGTCTTGCTTCTTCATTACTTATTCTCAATTGAAAAAATCTTGATTCTTGATGTTCAATTTCATACATCTGTTTCAACAATTAGTTCACTGGTTTCTTGATGTCACTATTCACTGTTACTTTTATGATTGGTTGGTATTATATGAAGAGTATTTTAATTACATTTTTGAAAGTGAAAGAGAAGAATAATTTTGTAAAATAATTCAAACTGTATAAATAACTTCCAGTGATTATAAATTTAGCTTATTAAATAAATGACAGTGTTTGATGAGAATGTGAAATATGGAAATTTACAATAGGTGGAACCTTTTGCCCTTTTACTGCATGTAAACACATGTGATAATTTAGAGGTATGAATTTAGCTAATAGTAGGCCTCTGAGGTGTTTGGATACATAACACATGGTTTATTAACATTCAACTTATATACAAATTCAAAAGTAAACAATGAGGATAATTTTGGAACATCTCAAGCTTAGGACCAATGCTCAATTGCTCATTTAGAGAAACTCCGTTTGTTAATTTTGCAGAGGCATTGAAAACAACTCTTATTTTAGAACTAGTACCTTCAGACTTGAATACAGCATGGTGAGGAATTAAGGATTTAGGATAAAAATCTTCGCTTTTTAATTTTCTCATATGTCCTAATGTTTCATATTTTTCCACAAAATTTTGATATTGTGTTTTTAAGTCAATGTTTTTACAAAAACGACGTTCAAGTTGAATAAAACATCGATTAGCATAACTAAATGAATCACCTAAACTAGGGCTTTGGTCTCTAAAAGGTAACTTCACTATGTATCTACCAGAGGAATCTTGTGCAACAGTATCACAAAAAAATCTTCGCACAACTTGTCTTCAGGGCTGGGTTGCGACTTATGGGTATTAATTTCTTAAATTTCCCAAAATTGTTTCAAACAAAAGTCAAGAGTGGATTCATCAGAGATAGCGAGATTGACAGAAATAGTGAATTTTCTTGTGGGGTGAACTTTAGTTGGTCCATTTAGAACCCAACCAAAAATGCTATGGAAAAGAGTAGGCATACCATGAGGGGTAGATCTCCGCCCACCATCAAAAATGTCAGGGTACAAATCAGCTCCAAGCAAAACATCAATATTTCCAGGAACATCAAAATGTGGATCTGAGAGTTCAAAGCGTTGGAAATATTCTCTTATTTCAGGGTCAAGAGAAGTAGAAGGTAGAGAAGATGTAATTTGACAGAGGACAATAGCGTTAGTGTTTAGAATGGGCCCATGTTGGAAACGAGGTTTGATAGAAATATTTACACATCCCTTTGTTTTAACAATAGATGTTTGAGATAGTCCTTGTACTGGAGCATTAAATTTTTGTCTTGAAGACCTAGCTGTTGAACACATCGTTCACTAATAAATGAAGCTTGAGATCCTGGATCAATAAGAGCTCGAAATGTCCTATATTTACCAAATGAATCACTCACTTGAATAGCTGCTGTACCGAGTAACACTGAAGTATTTGAGTCAGTCTTACCTGCTCCAAACCCTGACATCACTGGCTTGTCATCTTCGGGAGTGTTTGTTTGGCTTTTGTCAAAATGTGACACATGACATACCTGATCTGATTTTCTTTGATGCGAACGAGACTCGTCGTGGAGAAGTGTATGGTTTCGTTTACTACAACTTCGGCATGTAGATGTTGAAGCACAATTGTCTAACATATGCCCAATGCTGAGACAATTGAAACAGGCTCGTTTTGATTGCACAACATCCCTACGCTCCTTGATGGACAAAGCTGAAAACTTTGTACAAGTGTACACTGTGTGTGGTTCGTCACAGTAAATACAATTGGGTGTCCGAATATTAGTGACATAAGTGTTTCTTGCCACATTAGATGGTTTGTAAGCATTTTGAAGTAAATTTGGCTTAGGTTTCTGTGCTATTGGGGCTGTTCGAATATTAATAGCAGTAGCATCTAAAGCTTTGCAATGATCTGTCAAAAAACTTATTGAGTTATGAAATGTGGGAAATTCACTTTTCGAATAAGCTCTTTCAAATAATTGTCTTGTATGTTTGTCAAGTTTTTGCATTAAAGTGTGAAACAGCATAAAATCTCCTAAATCTACAGGGAAGGTTGTTGCGTTCAATGCATTCGCATTTTCACAACACGTGTCCAATAAATGTCTTAAAGCTTTCGGAGAAGAGACATGTAATGAATGGAAAGCAATAATTTCCTCCAAATAATGTGTGGCTAGGCAACGTTTATCATTGTACCTAGAGACAATTTGTTCCCAAACTAATTCATAATTTTGACTAGTTATTGGAAGAGTACGTGCCAAAGAATGTGGTTCTTCACTCAAACAGGACAACAAATATTGGAATTTTTCGACTGGAGAAAGTGTTTCATCAGTGTGGATTAGGAAACAAAATAAATCTTTAAAATTAGGCCTATCTTTCAAGTTTCCATTGAATTTAGGTAAAGAGATTTTGGGAAGTTTTACCTTACTATTTTAGATGACTTTCGAGTGGAAATATTAGAATATAAAATAAGACAGAGTGTTGAAATAGAAGTAACTGTGTTATATTAAAGATCAGAATAGAAAAGTAAACAGCATTTGATGATTAACATTTTAGTTGCTATGGTAACAACTGCTTCATATGTTCATAACATTCTCCCCCACTTAATCACTGGAGAGCAAAGTCCTTAAGATAGGACGGAACCTTGCGCTGTCTGGAAGGACGAGTTAATTTGTTTTCTTTTTGTTCTGTGGCTTGAGGTCTGTCTAGATTTTCTTCCCTTAGAGTACCGTCTAGTTCTGTTGGATTGTTTGAACTTGATTCAGACTCTGGGTGGATCTCTAGTGGTGGTGCTTGACAGTCTATAATAGGTATCCGTCTTGGAACAACAGAACTATCTTGTTTGTTTTGTGTTGTAAAGGTAACTTTCTTCTTGGATACAAGAGTCAAAATCAATTGATTTATGTGTCGTTTTAAACTTCGTCCAGAATCCAATTCAACAATGTAATGGTATTGACCTAATTTTCTCTTGACTGTACCAAACTGCCATATGTCTTTATTTCCCAGGTGAACTCTTGCCTGAACCCTCTCCCCCACTTTAAGAGAGCGGACGCGAAGAGGAGCAATCGATTTTGATGGAAGCTTTGCCTTTGGGTTAGGGAGAAGTGTGTCAAGTCTAATCCGAATCTTCCTGTTCAAATACAACTCTGCTGGAGTCTTGCCTGATGCCAAAGATGTTGCTCGATATCTGAACATAATGTTTTGTAGCTTTGTGGTAATTGGGGTTGGATCATCGGCAGCAGCAATAAGTCTTCTCTTTAAAGTTTGTATGTTTCGTTCCGCCAGGCCATTTGTTGCAGGATGGTTAGGAGCAGTAAATTTTTGGAAAATCCCACGTTCTTTACAGTAGTTGATAAATTCCTCACTTTTGAATATAGTGGCATTGTCCGAGACTAAGAACGAGGGGTACCCATGAACCGAGAAAATGTTTTCAAGTAGTGCCATCGTCGTTGCTGAGGAAGGAGCATTTCGAAGAATGCGAACTTCTGTCCACTTTGATTTTGCGTCTACACACATGAGGAAATAATTTCCATCCAATGGACCGGCATAATCAATATGCACTCTTTCCCAGTTATCATCGGGCTGATCCCACGGATGTACCGGAGCCTTTGGTGGATTGTGACGAACTTTAGCACAAGCTTCACAGCTTTTCACTAGTCTTTCTATTTGTTTGTCCATACCTTCCCAATATACATATCTTCTAGCAAGCTGTTTCATTTTAGTAATTCCGAGGTGTGATTCATGGAGCTCATTTAGAATGCGATTTTGAAGACGTTTGGGAATTACGACTCGATCTGATCGGAAAAGTATGTTGTCTGAGATCATGTAAGGGCTATCTTTGCGACTATTTTTCAGTTCATGCAAAAGAACTTGATGCTCAGGGTCTTTTGCTGTTTCTTCTTTTATCGTTTCTGCGGTTATCACTGTGCTGGAGATTTGAAGTAAGGTTTCTGCATTGATTGTGTTTATTTCTTTGTCGAATGTTAGTTCAGATGAAATTGATGATTGAACTGGGCTTCGAGACAAACAATCCACGTTTTCATTGTCTTTCCCTTTCTTGCATCGAATTGTATAGTCAAGACCACTGAGGAATGAAGAATAACGCAATAAGCGAGATGATGTCATTCGTGGCAGGGCACGTCCTGGATGAAAGATATGTGACAATGGTTCATTATCGGTGACAAGAGTGAATTTTTTACCAAAAACGTATCCCAGATAGCAAAAAATACTTGATTAAAGCTTGAAACAAGTTTGATTTGTCAAATCTGCAAACTTGAAACAAGTTTGCTCGGATGGGTCCGTAAACTTGATTCAAGTTAATATCATGCGTCGAAGTTCCCGCTCTTCCAGTTTGAATAAAACTTGTAACATCTAATTTGAATAAAACTTGAAATTTCTAATTTGAATAAAAATTGAAACATCTAATTTGAATAACACTTGAACTATCTAATCTAAATATAAATTAAAAAAATACTTGATTCAAGCTTGAAATAAGTTTGGTTTGTCAAATCTGCAAACTTGAAGGATCGGGTTTGTAAACTTGATTCAAGTTAAAATCATGCGTCGAAGTTCCCGCTCTTCCAGTTTGAATAAAACTTGAAAGATTCAATTTTAATAAAACTTGAAAGAACCAATTTTAATAAAACTTGAAATATCTAATTTGAATACAAATTTAAACATCTAATTTGAATATAAATTGAAGAGTACAAGAAATAATTCTTTTTTAGCTACTTACAAGCTCTTTTTTATTTCTGAAAATTTAATTCATATGCTTTTACCAGGATTCACACAGTCTTAACACATGTAATAAGAATTTCATATTTTTCAGGTTGAGATGCATAGCACAATATAATCTTCCAATATTTCAGATAATTTTTCACAATCACAACATAATCTAATAACTTCAATGCCTCTAGTTGTTAAATGCCAAGACACTTCTCTAAATAAAAAAGCGAGATACCATCTAAAAACTTGTTTTTATAAAAGAGCAGGAAAACATGAGTTATTATAGTTTTCAACCCTACAATTTTACATATTATTACTATTCAGTACGTAGAATTCAGAATTCTTTGAAATTAAAAATTAAACACAAGAGATAATTTGTCTAAACAGATTTATATTGAAGATTTACATAACACATTTACATTTGAAAATGCCTCGTATCTTTAACTTTCAACAAACAATTCCCTCAAAAATTCCTCATTTTACAATTACTTTAATAATACAGAGTAAGTTATCTATTCAACAAGATCTTCATCCCCATTGAGTGGAACTTCTTCCCCACTGTCCACAGTGGCAGGTTTTTTCTCTCTGAAAAATGTCAAAACAAATAGAATCAATATTAAATTTAAGGATAATTAACCAAAATGATTAATTTTGTATCTGGTATAAAAAAATAGGCAAGTAAGCAACATTTTAAACTAACGCAGTTTAACTCACAACCAGTGTAGGCCTGTTTAGTGAAAATTAATTTATTCCTACAATGATATACAAATACAATATATGATCTTCCCAATAATATTAGTATTAATTATTAGCTGTACCCGCGGGCTTTACCCCGCTTAACTTCATAAGTATTCACATGGCTCAATCACGTCCTGGTTGAAGTTCGTTCGCCTCGCTCACTCACCTTCAGGTTGGAAATCGTTCGCTGCGCTCACTTGTTTTCAGGTTAGCTCGTTCGCTACGCTTACTCGCCTCCAGGTCGATGTTCGTTCGCTACGCTCACTAAGCTTTTGGTTGCACTCTGCTCTTTTATTGTTTATAATACTTTGATAAAGGTTTTTATGTTTTAATATTTAACATTGGAGAATTTAAACGTTGTTGAGTGCACAGGTGTGCTGCGATTGGGGTTTAATACTTTGGACTTATTAAAAAGTAAAATAGTTTTCTGTGCTGCAATCTGTAGAAACACTGTGGCACTATTTCAAATCATGACTAATGCTAATACAGAATGTTGTGATTATTCAAGCCTACAAAACAGTTGGTGAAAGTAAACATCTGATTTTAAATTATATTTATTTGTAAACATTGTAGATCAAAAAGTCTGACATTGGCCCACTTAAAACCCTCTGGGGCAGAGCCCTTTTGACGGATCTGCACCAAACTACACTCGAACCATCCTTGAAAGATGCTTAATAATGCCTGAAAGTTTCATTACAATCTGTCGAGCGGTTTTGGAGTCCATAACGTATATACACATATATATACATACATAGTTCCTCTTTTAGCGAATTTCTCATATAGGGAATAAGCTATTACCGTAGGTCTCATGGTAAGACCTGGACCCGGGGCCGATTTACTTTTTCATTTTGAGGTCCCCAGAGGCCAAAAACACCATCCGTTCAAATTCATATATATATGTGTGTCCGTCAGCACGATAACTCGAACAAAATTGATCCGATTTTGATGAAATTTGGTATAAACGTGTAAACCTACGTTTATTCGAACGAGTTCGCGAACCAGCATGATCGGACCATGGGAACGGGGGTTTATGGGGGGTTTTATGGGGTAAAAATGAGTTTTTCCCATTTTTGACCCTAAAAACATAAAATTTTGGAATTTCTTCCCCAACCATTTTGTAGAGCTTAAAAAAAAAAATAATTTAGTATATTGAAGCATTGTTGTATGCCTAGTGGTTACGGAGAAAATTCAAAAAAAGTGTAAATAAAAAATTGCTATGTTATTCTTATGGAGAAAATGAAAACTGTTGTAGTTTACTTGTTTATGGATATATTTTAATAATACCCCCGCCGCAGCAAACCTGCAGACTAAGCGAATTTCCATTTGCCTGATTGAATTTAGACTAAAATGTCTCCTTAAAAATATCACATTTATTCCCTATTTAAATAGAATCAGTTTAACACATACTTAGGTTTGCTGCAACAGGGAGGGTTAAAGTGTTTTTTTATGTAAAATGTTAATAGTTAGTAAGAAATAAAAACATTTTCCAAATTTGGGCAAAATATGTTAACAAACAAGCACACTACAACGGTTTACTTATTCTCCATAAGAATAACATGGGAATTTTAAATTAACAATTTTTGGAATTTTCTCCGTAACCATTAGGCGCATTATAACGCTTCAATATACTAAATTATTTGTTTTTTTAAGCTCTACAAAATAGTTTGGAAAGAAATTTCAAAATTTTATGTTTTTTGGGTCAAAAATAGGAAAAACTCATTTTTACCCCATAAAAGCCCCTATAAACCCCTGTTCCCATGATCCGATCATGCTGGTTCGCGAACTCGTTCGAATGAACGTAGGTTTACACGTTTGTACCAAATTTCATCAAAATCGGATCATTTTTGCTCGAGTTATCGCGCTAACGGACACATATATATATATATATATATATATATATATATATATATTTTGTTATTGTATACATCAATGAGGGCTACTTTAAATGTTACTAAGCAACACCTCCTTCCCTTAATATAAAAATTATCACCTGTTCTTTAATAAGAAATATCTAATAATGTTTGTAAATAAAAGAAACTACTAGGTTATATACTATACTGTGATCATGGCATTAATGTCCGAAACATGTAAGTAATATAAAATAAAATGTTTTTAGGGTACTGTGGTATTTTGATTTGCTTAGTAATATATATATATATATATGAATTTGAACGGATGGTGTTTTTGGCCTCTAGGGACCTCAAAACAAAACAAAAAATCGGTCCCGGGTCCAGGTCTTACCATGAGTACTACGGTAATAGCTTATTCCCTATATGGGAAATTCGCTAAAATTTGGCAAATTTATTTATTTCATCCTATACTATTGACGGTTGGTCAAAAGACACTTTTTACCTTCCCCGTAGCAGCAAACCTAAGCACTCGTTAAATCCAATGTTATTTAAATTGGGAATAAATATGTCTTATTTCTGGAAATATTTTGGTAAAAATGTAATCAGACAAGTTGAAATTCGCTTAGTCTGCAGGTTTGCTGCGGCGGGGGTATTATAGATATAGATTAATATGTATAAAACACAATTACATTTTTATTGTCAAAAAATGCTAGACACAAAGCCCAGGATTGTTTTCACATTACTTCAGGCAAAACCTAGGCGTTGCGGCATTATCACTTCGATAAAATTAGGTGAATCTGCAGGATTTTGTATTTTATCGTTTAAGTATAAAACTAGTGATAGTTCTTGGTTGGTTATCCTAAATCTAGCCAAGATATTTGTTACAAATCTTGCTCATACTTTACAAATTTAAATAAGCTTTCATTTACTGTATAAATTAACCCAGGTAAGACCAGCATTGCTATGAAACATTAAAACCCGAACCCCTCTACAAGAATAAAAATACTAGCATTTTTCTCTTGGCAAATTTCCCTATAGGAAAGTATCTATTACCGTAGGTGGCATGGCAAGACCTAGGCCCGGAACCGATTTACTTTTTCATTTTGATGTCCCCAGAGCCCAAAAACACTATTCGTTCACATTTTTATATATGTATATATAGATTATATGTCCGTGAACATGATAACTTGAGTAGGCAGAGTTAATTTTTGTCCGATTTTAATGAAATTTGTTTTGAAGGTGTAAGGCGGGATAAACTTGAATAAGTTCGCGAACCAGCATGATCGGACCATGGGAACGGGGTTTTATGGGGTAAAAATGGGGTTTTTCTAATTTTTGACCCTCTAATCAAAAAATTTTACAATTTCTCTCCAAACCTTTTTTTAAAGAGCTTAAAAAAACAAATTATTTAGTATATCAAAGTGTTTTTGTACAATTATTGGTTACGGAGAAAATCCAACAAAAATTTATTTTAAAATTCCCATGTTGTTCTTATGGAGAATATTGTAAAATGTTGTAGTTTGCTTGTTTTTGACCAAACTTGGTAAATTTATTTATTTGATTCTAAGTAATTAATATTTTACTAAAAAACACACTTTTTTACCCTCCTTGTAGCAGCAAGCCTAGGTACTCATTAACGCTAATGTTAATTAAATACATTTAATTGAAAATCAATTCAGGCAAATGGAAATTCACTTAGTCGGCAGGTTTGCTGCGGCGGGGGTATTTTTTAGCTTATACAGTACTTGAGTAATCATAATGATAAACAATAAAAAACATTTTTATGAAAAACCATTATGCAGTAGACCTAGT